CTGGAGGATTGCATCGTGATCACCTAATCCCAGAAAATATTAGGTATAGGTTGGTAAGAACCAAGGCTTGTGGGCCCTAAACTGTGTGTCATGGGGAGGGTTTACTGCTTGGAGTTTGACCAACTAAAAATGCACAGCTTGCCATTGCATTGTCTGGCAAGCTTCCCCCTGCTTGTAAAGCTGGGAATACCCTACCCACCAGGGCTTTTGAGTTCCAGGGTTACCAGGAGCCGAGTTGGAAGAATCCCAGCCCTCAGTGACTGCTCTCTTCTTCCAATTCCTGCCGGTGATTTGGGCTGGCTGCTTGTGGCACCTCACACCTCACAAAGTTATATTCATAAAAGTAGAGAGTGGTGTGTAGAAATCTCTCATTCCAATATATATTAAAAAAATAGCAATGATCTCAAGGCTTCTGCTTATTTTGAGATGCTCTATACATCCTCTCCACTCATAACATCCTTTCTGCATCCTTTCCACATGAAGATGTTCTGTTCCTATTTAAGCTAGGTTTCTATCTAGGGGCATAAATGAACCTATATTTAGTGACTTTTACATATGTATTTTTGTAATTAATTAGCACTTTATTTTTGTAATCAAAATAATTACACCAAAGGCTGGGGATGTGGCTAAATACAGGATCAAATGTCCGGCCTTTTTCTCAGTTCCCTAGCATTGATTAGGAATATTTTTTTACATTCTAAAGTTTTGAGTTATTAATAATAATCCTTGCAGTTGATATTGCACCTTATCACATCTTCACAAAGCACTTCATCGAATATACTGTGAAGTGACTATATTTTGTGGGCGAAAGATGGCAGCCAATTGCACACAGCAGCGTCCCACAAACAGTCATGGATTGGGTGACCAAATCATTAATTTTTTTAAATTTATTTTTGTTTTGAAGGAAATATTAACCCTGGAAATAATAGGGTGATAATTAGGGTGAGTGCTCTAACCAGTACTCTACAGGACTCCTTAAGTTGAAATGAAAGTTAAATGAAGAAGGGAATCCTAAGCAAAACACAGAATTTGTGTTGAGTGGATGATCTGGAGAAAGAACTGTGCTGTGTTTGAGAGAAAATGTCAGGGTGAACTATCAAGTTTATCACAACTAGTATGTTTTTCTCACAGGAAACTAGATAGCCATGAACATGCTACGGGTATTAGTATTGGGTGTCCTTGTCTGCTATAAAGTTTCAAGCCATAATTCAGTCATGGACTCATTAGGAATCTTCTACGTTCTATGGGCTACTCTACAAACTTCGCTTGGAATTGCCTCAGTCAGCTTTTCTGCAGTAGGAAGGCCATTGAAATTACTTTCTGCTTCCATAGTCCACTTCCTCATTGGTATTCCAAGTATGTTGCCTTGGCATTATTCTAATTGCCAATAATGTGCATTTACATGTAGTCTGAACTCCACTAATCTATTACCTTCCCTGTCAATTGCTTTAACTGGACATGCCTTCAAGACGCTCTGGGCTGACAGAGCCAATCCACAGCTCCTTCACAATAGCCTGAGCTCTCTATTCTCATTTCACCTCTCATCTGTTCTGTACTAAAATTTCGATGTGAATTTAAAAACTTTGAGCAAAAAACAAAGTTAAGTATGGAGAGTCTCCATTTGAGTCAAAATGGAACTGCACACATTAATAGACAGAACAAGTAGGGAGAGGAAGTTTCTCTGTAAATAGTCATCAGAGGACATGGTGGAAGAAATACGTTGTCAGCGAGATTGCTAATTACCAGTTTAGAGCTTTGCTGTTGTAAATAATTGCCGGGACAAAATTAGATGTCTAGATTATGTTCATTCCGCCTAGTTTGGATTTGTATTAGTGTATCACAAACTGGGGTAGGAGTGTACTATATACACTAGACACAAGTTTGAAATGAGATTACTATTGTATTCATGTATTACAAGAGTTCATTGTTGGCTCAAAAGTATGGGCTTGATGCCTAGGTTTTCTTACTCTATAAGCAGTTTAGATTTATTGTAGAAGTCTTGAACTTTGGGAATAGCCGTTGAAGGTCATCTTAACATAAAATGGTCCTAAAACATTGGTTCAAAGGGACTTTCTGTGGGTTGATAAAGATCAAAAGCAAAAGTTGACTGGTATGAAGACGGTCAAGTTTCAACCGTCAGAAATTGCATTTCACCAGTAAAATTCTGTCCGCTGAATGACCATTTCTGCTCTCGGCATTCAGACAGGGTATACAGAAGGTTTATGATATGGCAGATATTAGATACATGCATACGAGATCCATATTCCTAAAGTATTTGGGTATTAATAAGTAGAGACTCAGTAACAATACAATTCCTTTGAACCTGATCTCGCCCCCAGATCAGAATCCCTATTTGAATTCACTGAAATAACAATGTGCGGTTGGTTCCGCGGGCTACAGAAGGTAAAATCAGTCTGGCGTTTCCAGTGTTTGTCTTGAGTGCGGATAGGCACTAGCCATTCCTTTCCCTGACCTGGACCCTGCTATGCAGCTGTTTCAGTAATAAGAAGTAAAGGAAGCTCGATTCAGAACTGTTTGTCCAGAGTAGGAATTAGAGAATGACTCCTGCCCTTTTTATTTGCATTATAAATAAGAGCTGTCTCCCTTGTCGATAGTTGTTCCCAATATTGCAGAGCAGCACATTAAGAGATTAATTAGACGATTGGCAGATCGCTCCCCCAGGGTAATAATCCCTTCAAATAAATAATAATAATTTGTTCACTCAATCCACAACGGTTTGTGGGACATTGTTGTGAGCAATTGGCTGCCGCATTTCATCAAAGAATATACAGTCAATTCACTTAGCAGTATATTTTGAAGTGTCTCAAGTATGTGATAAGATGCTGTGTCAAATGCAAGGATTATTATTGTTATTCTTAAATCAAAAATTCCCTTTTGAGCATGTAATCTCTATCACGGACAGAACTCTTTGATGGGATGTTTTCTGTTGTGTGTTCACAGAAGGTTTTGCAAATATGCTACAAATTAGGATTCAGCTGTAACTCTCACCTGTAATGGAATGCGTTTGTGAATTGTTTGTTTTTCTAGAATTTTGAAGAAATTTTCCAAAGGCCGCCAGGATCCTATGGGAAGCAGCTTCAGGCAACCATTTCTTGCTGTTACCTGGAAAAGATCATTTACTAACCTACTGATAAAATAAATAATAATAATAATTTGGTCACTCAGTCCATGGGTGGTTGTGGGATAATGCTGTGCGCAATTAACTGCTGTGTTTTGCCCACAAAATAACAACGTGATAAGGCACTATATCAGTTGCAAGGATTATTATAAACAAAATGCAAAATACTACAGAAATATGAAACAAAAACAGAAGTGGCCGGGAACACTCAGCAGGTCAGGCCGCATCTATGGAGAAAGGAAAGTGAGTCAACATTTCGGGTCCCCGACCCTTTGTCAGAACTCAAGTGTTCTTGCAAGGACTATTTTTATTACTGCGGCCACTTAGAACCATAGAAACCACTTGTGTATTCTTTTAAATTGCAGAAGAAATATTTGTAGATGGAAACCAGTGATTAAATGAAACCTGTGATTTGAAATAAATTAAAGCTACCAATTACTATTCAGGGCAAAGTCCTGTTTCCACGCATACCATTCCTCAGTAACCGTCGATAGAAAAGGCTGCTGCTGCCTGGAGTGGTTGTCCTATTTTTGTGCATCTTATGACGCTGCAGTACTATGGCACAGCTGGTGAAATGAATACTGCTGTACTATAGGTTGTATTCTATTTCTGTTTAGTCAAGTTAAATATTGCAAGTTGACTTGATTCACTCCTGTTGCTTGATGTGTAAAAGAAAGCTTGGCCAGACAGCGCTCTCAACGGCAAGCTGTGTGGTTTGATCTGGTTAGACTCCAGCAGTTACCCCAACGCACAGTCTGGGCTTCCCCCAAGCCTTGGCTCTTGCCAACCTGTGCCTAATACTCTCTGGAATTAGGTAAACAGGATGTGTCCCTCCGGGAGGGAGAGAGAGAGAGAGAGCGCATTCCAGTCCAACAGTCTCTCTCTGGGATTTCCATGTGTAGGTGGGATGCATAGAAACCTCAGCTTGGTTTGGATTCTCTTAAGCAACGGTGACAGGTTTCCTCGTCAGACACCCGGCTGACGGGCAAAACAGCTCAGTGACAAAGGCACTCTTTGAGGAATGGACAATGGTATCTTATTACTGTAGACCTAAGTGTCAAGTTGTAGCTACAAACTGAATGCAGGTGTCCTGCATTGTAGCATTGTAAACTTAATCATTTCTCCGTTACCCCCACTCTAAATTTCTCACCTCTTACAGCCGAGGTAACCAAACAAGGACTTGTGGCCAACAGATTCTGTTTATTTTATTGTAGCACTATTTCACGGGAGGCTATTTTAACAGGTGTTAAAAATGTAAACTCCAATTGGACCTCCCATTTACCTATTCCCTGCAGAGTGATTTGTATGCTTTGTGCAGATCTTTCTCAGCTCCCTGTGGACTCCTCGTATTAACTTTACAGTAGTTATCTTTCACTGTGATCTTTAATCTGTGAAAACATCACACTGAAAGCTTGCGGGCTGTAGGTGTTGGGGTGTGAGCTGGGCTCATGCTTTTGTATACTTTGGGCTGAAGCCTATCATTGTGCTTGCTTATGAATATATGGAATAAGTCAAGAAATATTCAATCAAGAATGTTTATTTTGTTGGTCAACCATAAAGGTAGGTCACCGCTGGCCTAGGTAATAGGCACAATTCCTATGGCGGGGCTTGAACATTCAGACTCAGGCGAATACTATTAACTGTGCGCAATTGGCTGCCGCAGTTCTCCCAAAATACAGTCAGTTCACTTTGCTGTATATTCTGTGAAACACTTTGAGCCGTCTCAACAATGTGAGAACTGAAACACCTTTTTGATTCTTTTTCTTGGTTTCACCTTGTCCAGGTTCAGTATAACCTATTCTGTGCGCCCATATCATAGATGAATGAGTGTGTTGACTTGTACTTTCTTTTCCCCTCTCAGGTGCTCTTAGTGAGTAGCAGTCGTCACCCAGACCAGTGGATTGTACCAGGGGGAGGAATGGAGCCCGAGGAGGAGCCAGGTGGTGCAGCCGTCAGAGAGGTTTATGAAGAGGTGTTGGATTGTCCCTTTACGTATTCCGTGTCAGATATTAGCCGTGTCTTTTCTTTTTTTCAGTTTTCTTTGCACTTTAAGCTCATTTTTAATTTTAGATTTTTAATTAAGAATTAGAATTCTAATCATCCCTCCACACCCCCCAAAATAATTTAAAAAATGAAAAATGTGGTTTGTGGGACACTGCTGTTCACATTTTGTTTCTCAAAATTCACTTAAAATGGTCAAGGAAAAAAATATTCACTGTAACATTTTTTAAAAAATGATATAAACCCAGTCAAGTGCTCTGGGGTGCTAGCCTGCCTGAAGGGCGCAAGGTGAACACAAGTTGTTTTTGTTATTAATGGAAGGGAGGAAATATTTCCACAAGAAAGGCTCAACTTGACCTTTGTAACCAGTCGCTCACTGAACATCAACAACAGCTTGCTTTTTTTATATATATGGCACCCTTCACGCTGGGTACTGACCCGGAGTGCTTGCTATGGGAAATCTGACTTGGCTTTAAGTACCACAAAATAATTTTTCCAATAGGACACCTTTCTGAGACTTCTCTATTGTTTTTCTTGCCTTCAGTTGCTGTGCCAGCAAGAATGGTTGAGACTTCAGACTTGGCAGGAATTTGTTTGGGGCCTTTGAAACCTTTTGTTCCTTTTTGTTTTTAATCAATATATTGTAGTGTTTGCAATTACTTAGCTTCAAAGAAGGACGAAGCCTTTACTTAAAGTCATGAAATGATGACATTGCATAACCATCTCATGGCCTTTACACTTCTCACACATGCTGCGTTGCATCATTCTTGAAATGCTCATTATGTTAAAGGACGAGATTGCACTTTCCCCCTCTCTCTTCTCTCCTCCACCCACCCCGACTGCCCACACCAAGTGATGTCGCTGCTTAAGTAACGACTGACCTTTTGAGTCATTCAGCATCAGATTTCCTATACAGTGCAAAGCTTTGAAATTCTGAAAGACTTAAAGGAATATCTAAAGATAAGGTTTAGGGTTTACAGAGATTCCACAGATTATGTTAACATAACGACATAATTTACTAAATTACTGCAATGATTTTGAAAAAAATGTTTGTCAGCGGCCTAAACTAAATGATTTAGTTTGAAATTAAACAACTGAGCCAAGTGCCACCATGTCTCTGCCGGTCTGACATTTGGAATCTATAAATGCGTACTGCTGAACCTGTTTGAATGATAGCCATTGAGGTTATTAATAATAATAATAATCCTTGCATTTGATAGTGCCTAATCATGTCTTTGAGACATCTCACAGAGCTTCACAGAATATACGGTAAAGTGAATTGACTTTATTTTGTGTGCAAAAGGCGGCAGCCAATTGCGCACAGCTGCGTACCACAAACAGTCGTAGATTGAGTGACCATATTTTTTTTGAAGGGATTATTACCCCCAAGAAAGTGCTAGGTAAACAACTGTGTGGAGTAGGGAAATTTACCTAATGTTTTGCCTTGCTCCGGAATCAAACCCGGGTACTCCCTCTTGCGAGGCGAGTGCTCTAACCTTTGCACTTCAGAACTGCTCAATGGTTTCTTTATATCAAAATAAAATAAATGCAACAAAATAGGAACTTGTTCAGTATATTACGCAAACATGTTTACACAATACAGTGTTTTATGTGTTTTAGTTGTCTGATAATCAAAGGTGTTCAGTTGACAAAACAGATTTCAAAAATAAGATTTTGTACAGACAAATATATCATAAAAGTAATAGTTGCGTGAACTTCATCTGCATATTTACAATTCATAAAAACTGCCTAAAGGTTTTGAGTTGTGCACTTATAATAATAATCCTTGCATTTGATAAAGCATCTTATCACGTTGTTGAGTCTCAAAGTGCTTCACAGAATGTACTGTAAAGTGAATTGACTGTATTTTGTGGGTGAAACGCGGCAGCCAATTGTACTATACACGAGAACCAGTCAAAATTGTCACATTGTGAAATAGTTAAAATGAGTGATGATGACCATTAACACAATTCTTCAGATTTCACACCTTTTTAGTCTTTGAATAAAACAACCTATCCACTTTGTGATGCTATGCACAATTCCTTTTGTTGTGTGTGAAGATAGATCAACAACAATGTGAATGGGTTCACGAGCACACTGTACTGATTAATGTTGTATGCGGGTGGCTGCCACGATTTAGTGCAGACTGTGTTCCCAGTCTCATTTGAATTGTCTGGAGAGGTGCCAAGTACTAATGCTGATGTCTCAAAATAAGACCTGTCAGTTTACTGGATAGATTGGGGAATTTGTCAAATCTAAATAAATGCCTGTGATCATAATTCCCTCGGAAAACAATTTTAGATTTGCTTTTTAAATCGGTGCTTTATCTGATTGGGGTGTTTAAAATAATAAAAGATTTGATAAGGTAGCTACAGAGAAACTATTTCCAAACTTTATTAAATGTAAGTATTATTATTATGTCAGTGTGTTGACAGCAACTTGGGTAAAGGTGTGCTTGAACAACTAGTAATACAATATTCAGCAATTGCTTTATTTTGATAGTTTTGATTTTGCTTCAGACTAAAATAATAATATTAACTAATAATAGTTCCTCCAAAAAACAATAATAAATTGGTCATTTTCAAACCACGACTGTTTGTGGGGACGCTGCTGTACGCAATTGGCTGCCGCGTTTCGCCCACAAATATACGGTCAATTCACTTTACAGTTTATTCTGTGAAGCGCTTTGAGACATCGAGAAGAAAAGCGCTGTATCAAATGCAAGGATTATTATTAAGTATCAGAAGTGTTGTACAGTATCTTTCACATGGAGATTTGAAGGAATATTTGTTTTTAATTAAATTTATCAACCATAGAAAAGTATTACAGTGTATTCCTGTTAGGAAATAATATCTCAGGATACAGTATATAGTTTGGGACACAAGCAACTGCCAGGATGGTGGAAGGCAAATTGGATGCATCTTGGTGGTCTTTCGCCAGCAAATTCTTATGTTCTTATTTTGTGAAAATTGCTGGCCATCTTAACTGAAAACTGATTCCTTTCAAATATCATAGAATATGGATAATGCATTGTTTGGTTTTTTTACTTTCAGGCGGGTGTCAAAGGGAAGTTGGGAAGATTGCTTGGGATATTTGAGGTGAGTCCTGTTGGTCATATTTAAATATGTAGATTGAATTTTATTGTGAAATATCATCTGTATAAACCAAAACATAAATTAATTGTGGACATTCATTGTGAAACGTGGGCGACCAGCGTTTGTTTATTCAGATTGTCTTAAAGTGTTTGTTTTGGAGTTCAGTTCTAATATTACTATGTTTATGAAGAAATTATACAAAACATTAGAAGATAAATGTGATTCCAAGTACTTATATATGGGGAATGAGACAATTTTGCAGCTGTCCTTATGGGATTGTTTCTGTAACATTGGTTGATTTTCTCCTTGAAGCTAACTAAGTGGTTTCATAGCTGATGCTTCCATCATTTTTCCATGGAATGTCTTTTGCTATTGAGATAAGTTGAACCTCTATTAATCAGGCGAGTATCTAGCAAGTCCACGTGTGAACTAGGTCACCAGCTTCTGTGGGGAGAGAAGAGTTATAGGCATTTGATGGCTTGGGGCAGATTCATGTCAGCAATGTAGGAGTCTCCCAAGAACATGTATGTCAAACAGATAACAATTTTTTTTTATGAAGGTTCATTGGAATCTCCTTCTTTTCATGTAGAACCAAGAGAGAAAACACAGAACATATGTGTATGTACTCACAGTCACAGAAATTTTGGAAGATTGGGAAGATTCGGTTAATATTGGTAAGCTTATTATTGTGTAAATAATCTGTTTACGCAATTGGCAGCAACCTGGCTTCACTACATTTTACAGACAACCATTCTGGACTGTTTCCTAACAAACCGACTAGACATTGTGGAGTCCTGTACCTCAGTGGTTAGAGCACTCGCCTCGCAAGTGAGAGACCTGGGTTTGATTCCCAGCAGGACGAAATGTTGCACAAGTTTTCTTACTCCACACGCCTCTGTTTACCTTGCAGAAAGTAGGAACCCGGTTACCAGTTGATTGGCCGATCGCTTTTCTGGGGGTAATAACTCAGTGAAATTTTTTTTGTTGAAAATTTGTCGCTTCAATCCAGGGACCCTGCTGTGAGCAATTGGCTGCTGTGTTTTGCCCACAAAATATACAATCAATTAACTTTATAATAATAATCTTTGCATTTGATAGAGCGTTTTTCACGTCTCCTAGACATCTCAAAGCGCTTCACAGAATATACTGTAAAGTGAATTGACTGTTTATTTGTGGGCGAAACTCGACAGCCAATTGCGCACAGCAGCGTCCCACAAGCAGTCGTGGATTGAAAATGACCAATTTAAGTATAAGCGCTTTGAGACTTCTTGAAGACGTGATAAGGCGCTATATCAAATGCAATTATTATTATATTGCCATTTGGGTCTTAATTGATAGACAGCTCAGGTGCTCTCCCAGCTGCTAGAACAGGAATCTATAGTAAGGATCATATTTATAAAGTGGCTAACCATAGGGGCAGTACTTGGCGGTTTTAACCAACAGCTAATGCAATTTCCAGTGGGAATTTCCCTTTAATAGAGCGATCAACCTCTGTGTACTCAACAACAACTGGCATTCATATCGCGCCTTTCACACGGGGTAGTATCCTGAAGCACGTGACATTGGCAGAGCCTGACCCCGAGCCTTTGGGTGACCAAAATAGATAGTTTGACTCTTGCTCCCATCCTAGCTATGATAGTGTATTTGTCTGAAGCATGAAAAAAGTCATACTCCCAAGACCAGTTAGGAATTTCTAGCTTTTTCTTTCTCTTCTCCTCCCTCCAACTCCTAGAAAGATTCTCAGTCTAGATGAGTGTCATTTAATTTAGACTACTGGAGTCCCGTAATGTAATGGTTAGAGTGCTTGCCAGGTTCGATTCCCGAGCAGGGCCAAACCTTTGGCATCCTTACTCCATGTGCCTCTGTTTACCAGCAGTAAGAAGGAACCCAGTTGTTAGTCGATTAGCGGATCATTTTCCGGGGATAATAATTCCTTNAAAAATAAATCAATAATTTGGTCACTCATACCTCGGCTGTTTGTAGGACGCTGCTGTGCACAATTGGCTGCCACGTTTCACCCACAAAATGCAGTAAATTCATTCACAATCTATTCTGTGAAGCGCTTTGAGGTGTCTCAACAACATGATAGTGTTATATCAAATGCAGATATTATTATTGTAGATTTATTAATCTGGAAAATATGCTCATCCTCAATGTTTGATAATTGTCTTGGCTGCCAAACCCTGATAAGTTTTCAGTCTTAGCTGAGAGATCATGTGGGACTTTGCTGCGTGTGACTTGGCTACACAGAGTGCAGTCGCTGCATTTTACAGTAAATCCTATGAAACCATTTGAGACGTCTTCCCAACTTGAAAGGGATTATATCAAATGCGAGGATTATTACTTTCCTGCACTCACAGCAATCGCAATGACTGTCAAGCTTTTAGAGTTGAGCCTGGTCAATATTTCAGGTAATGCCTAATCACACTTGCTCTTTCCAGTGAATTATCCTCTAATTCCTCCTCTAGGAGTAATCAACACTTGGTAACAATATCAAGACGACCTTGATTACAGTTCATAAACACATTATTTTTCCCTTTACCTCTATCAGATTCAGTTGTCAAAAATATACGGTCCATCCCTTTAACATTTCTAGAATGTCATAGCATTAAATTTGGACAAAGTGCTTTATACACACAGTGTAATATTAAAATAATAATAATCCTTGCATTTGGTATAGCACTTTTCACATTTTCTAGATGTCTCAAAGTGCTTCACAGAATATACTGTAAAGTGAATTGACTGTATATCTGTGGGTGAAGTGCGAAAGCCAATTGCCCACAGCAGCGTCCCACAAAGAGTTGTGGATTGAAGTGACCAATTTATTATTGTTTTCTTTTCTTGAGGGATTATTATCAGGCGTGTGGAGTAAGGAAATTTACCCAAAGGGTATTGTCAAAGGAGACAGCAGGTGATCTGATCCATTAGTTCAAATGTACTTGTGACCTGCCCAAATTGCTGTTGCCAAATCTCCTTGTCAGCATTCTTCTCCACCATCCCCAATACTATTTGAACCACCTCACATCATTGAGACGTCTCAAAAGTTATTCACAGAATATACTGTAAAGTGAATTGACTGTATATTTTGTGAACGAAACACAGCAGCCAATTGCGCACAGCAGCGTCCCACAAACAGCCGGAGATTGAGGGACCAAATTATTATTTCATTAATTAAATAAACCTAGACGTATCTTTGGCACACTAAATATTCCTTATTGTTGGTGTTAATCAACTTTGTTTCTCATGGTTTTTATACTCTTTCCCCCTCCTCTCCCTTCAGGCAGAAAAAGGGAATGGTTTAAAGTGGAGGATGCTATCAAGGTACTGCAATATCATAAGCCAGTACACGCTCAGTACTTGCAAAAGCTGAAACTGGACTGTTCAAATAGTAACGGCAACTCGATCACAGACGACAAGACTTTGTACGTGACCTCTGCCCAAACTTCAGGGATGTCGTCTGATCTCAGATGAACGGACATTCGCATGTGGCCTTTCTGCTCATTTGCAATCAATTAGGAAAGGACATTTTGCTTTCGGAAGCAGAATGTGTATATTCTAGTCTAGATTCTAATATAGATTGTATATGTATAAATACTTTTGCATGAATACTTGCAGTGTTGATATGAAACATTTTATGATGTAAAATAGTATTGAAAACCAAAGCCATACACTGATTTATTTTAACATTATTTTGTTAAATATGCCTTACTGGCTACTAAATGTGTTAAGACTACATTGTATAAAAGGGTGTATTTAATGCTGTTTGTTTCATCATTCATAGCACGCCACAGTTGTTCTGAAAATATTTGGCTTTCTGCATTTATATTTTCCAAAGGTAATGTGAGTATCCAGTAAATACTTTCCACTTGTTGGCTGAACTCCTGCCAACAACTGGCGGCAGGGAGTCATCCCCCTCAGCTCCTGTTAACCCTGCAAGCCAAAGCCCTAATGGGTGGGGTGGACCTAGCTGGATAAGCAGCGGGAAAGCAAAATCAATGGCAAATTACACGGTTTTAGCTTGTTAAGACTGCGGCAGTCACCCCAACGCACACTCTGGGCTCCCCCCAAACCTTGGCTCTTGCCAACCTGCGCCTAATATTCTTCGGAATTAGGTAAACAGGATGTGTCCCTCCAGGAGGGGAGAGAGAGTGCATTCCATTCCAATAATCTTCGCTGGAATTTCATGGATGCATGGAAATCTCAGCTTGGTTTGCAGACTCTTAAGCATGGTGATGGGTTTCCACATGCGCCAGACACCCGGCTGACCAAAAAAAAATCAACAGAACTCTGAAAGAAAGTTGGACAGGAGAAACTCCAGGAAAGTCAAATGGATCACTTCACTTTATTGATTTCACAACTTCAATGCTGAGACAGCAAAAATTACCCCTTTTAAATTATTCAGGTAGCAGTGGTTAGGAACATTTTTTTTTACACAAAATTGATTCTCTGTTAAGCACTGTTAAGGAAAACACTATTAAACGTTGCGCTCGTTGTATTCCTGATTAAAATGCAAAGGAGTTTCCGTACCGCTAAGTGTCCTGAGACTGTCAAAGTGCTATGTGCTTTCATCTCACCTTTTCACTGTAATTTACAACAGTTAAATTTAGACGGGATGGGGGGGAGGGGGGAGGGCCAGTGAACTATGAAGTTAATGACTTCTAAATCTAAAGTTCTGAAGTTGTATAGAAGCCAAATCAAACTGCTGCTAATGTAGTTTTGTTCTAACCTTGAAGCGCTTATTTGTTAATTTTCCCACCACCCATCTTCAATGTTTTTGTTGCTTTCTTTACTCTCCCTGTTCTTTCAGCCTCTTGTCCTATTTCTGAATTTATCATTCTTTAATACGAGATCTTTTCTCTACAGTTAACATTCTTGTTAAATCAGCAGGAACACTTCATAAAAGCTAATGTAATGAACTTAATTTACAAAAAATGTGCTCGCTAGTGACTTGTATTCTATGTCTGGAGCCCTGCGGTCTGAATGATTCTTGCGATGGCTGAATCCAGGGGAAACTCACAAATCAGGTCAGCCAACGGACTGAGGAAATGTGACCACATTAGCGGGCTTGAGCTCCCGAGTGAGGTTGTGAATTGACCACATTTAGTGCATGACCTTGAGGTGAGTTTCCACTGGAGTATCTAATGGTGCTTGTAGTTTATTTAAATGTTTGTAAAATTGAGCCATTCTGAAAATATTGTTTCCTATGAAAATTGGGTACTTTTTTTAAAAAAAAACAAATCTCCCAGACGCACTTCTGATTCTTTGCTCTTTGTGTGTTCATTTGATTTTTGTTTGCCAGTGTACTTTACTTCTGATTGGTCATGTGAGCAATCTGTTTTAAATTCAGCACCTCTCTCCCTCCCCAACAAATTGTGGAGTTTTATGTGACTTATCTTTTAGACTGATATTATAAGGCAGTTTAGCAAGATTGGGAGCAATGACGTTTAAAATGTCGTCTTAAATAAAGAAAAAAAAGTTGTGGAAAGATTGATTGTACAAATCTAACTTTATGGAGACTTGGGGGGAAAAAAGAACGAGAGAAATTGATAGTGGGCGAGGAGACTTCATTCAAATCCAGTACAAAATTCAGGTTGAATAATTCGTTTTTTTAAAAAAAAAACTGCAGTTGCAGTTTGGTTCCACTCTCTAATATGGTTCCATGATACAAATTTACGGTGAATTGATGTCTGTCAAAGAATTGGCTAGTGTGAAAAGCAGACCAAATGTCACACTAGAATTATTATTACCAAATAAAATTGAGCTTAACTTAATACATGTGGCATTAACGTAAGTGCAACAACTTCATTTTGGGCGGTGAGGCAGAAGGGTTTAATTCTTATACTTGTCATGAATGCTCAATCCTAAACACGAGATCCTTAGTCTGTTCACAGAACCGTAAATTTTAAGAAAAATCTTAAGTAAGAATCATCTTTGAGCCGTTTATAATTCAGAATTATTTAATTCTGAATAATTTAGTCCAAAAAAGTATAGTTGAATTGCAATATTGATTTGCAACTGTAGGAAATAGTTTGACTTAATTAATTTGCCTTATCTAATTACAACCTGCTCTACTTTGCTCTCAATAGTGCTATTTTAAGTACAGTAGCCTTTTTAACATACTATTATGGCTTACCATGATCTTGAATAAAACAAGTAAATTTATGGCTCTACCTATAGAAAAGCTACATATTGCCCTTCATAAATATTTCTACAGTTCCCAAAGATGTCATACTAGATTTTTTTTTCAAAAATCGCTTGACATAATAGTCTTTGAATAAACTTTTGAACACCATGCATTCATTCTATCAAATAGTTTTGTTGTCCAAAGTTGTTTGTTCTCTATTAAGAGAATATTAATGTGCACTTCAGCTAGTTGCAAGTTTTTCTATTTTAAAACCTTAAATACACACACCGAGCTGTTGCATTCAGATAGTTGGCCTTTTGTTTCAGCCATTGATGTCAAATCATTGTTTACTTCATATCTGATGTACTGTACAGTACTGAGCCAGATTTCAAAAGGCCTTGTTTGTACTTCATGTTCAGCAAATAAATGAGCCAGTGCAACTGTGAGCATGTAGATTTGTTTTGTTATGAACATTTAAACAGTTCTCTAGTTTTGTACTTTACACTATGTATTATATTCAAAATTACAATATGATTTTGCAAAATGTTACTTGTAATCTCTTTAATGCCCCTAAATAAAGTTGATTAGTAATGTAGATCATTAGTATAACATGGTAATACCTCTTCCAACGATTTTGTTTCATAGTGAGCGTCAGTGTGAGCTTCTCATCCCTCTTGCAACTGATTTGATTGGTTTATAAACCAGGATAACACTAAAATAATAATAATCCTTGCATTTGATATAACACCTTATATTCCAGATGTCTCAAAGCGCTTCACAGAATACACTAACGTGAATTGCATATTTTGTGGGTGAAACGCGGCAACCAATTGCGCTCACCAGGGTCCCTCAAACAGTCGTGGATTGAGTGACCCTGCATTAAATTTTTTTTTAAATAAAATTTTTGAAGGGATTATTACCCCCACTAATCAATAACAACTGGGTTCCTACTTACTGCTGGTAAACAGAGGCTTGTGGGGTAAGGAAACTTGCCTCAGGTTTCGCGCTGCCCGGGAATCAAACCCAGGTCCTCTCCCTTGCGAGGCAAGTGCTCTAACCACAAAGCTATAGGACTCAAATGAATTGACTCGCTACAGTTGATTAGATGGATAGAGTTCCAAAGGATGGTGTTAGAGAGGCTGAAGGCCTGACTGTCGATGATGGGGCAGACAGGGTGGGGTGGACATAGAGATACGGAGCCTGCTTAGCATAAGACAGATAAATATAGAGTGAGCAGTCACAGAGATAACATAACTTCATTGTTTTCTTCACCTTTGGCTGACAAGGCAAGTCTCGGTCCCAGAGTTCTGGTTAAGCCGGTTCAGCAAGTTGACTGGAGGAGTGTGTGAAGTAAACTTTGCTCCAGCTGGTCCGTCCAAGAACACAAAGTAGGAATATTTACTAGAATTGGTACTATTCATGTCTTTCCCCCCCCACTATACCCCCAAGAGCAGAAACATGTTAAAGAGTATTATGAGCTTGCCAATTGGTGTTTAAGTACCTGCTATTGCCTGATTAATGTCACCAAAGTAAAATTATCTTAACATTTATCTTCATTTTTGTAAACAGATCGCTGTTAATTTGTTCCTTACCTCAGTGCATATTGACATAGAATGTTGTATTACACAAATGTCCCAGTCAGCCGAGCTCGTCTGGTGTTTATACTGTATAAGCCTTCACCATTCCTAATCCTCTATGTTCTTCATGCATCAAGTTTCCTCTTAAATTTATTATTCATGCTGTTTTGCTCTAACCTGTTTTCAGCAGAGTTCCACATTCTCATCAATCTGGTCATCCTCCCGCCCCTACCCTTCCTGCCCTCCACCCCAACCCCCAGCTCAGGTTCAAATCCCTGAAATCCAGCGCTTTGGAGCATCCTCCTGACATGAAAGTTACTACACAAACGTAAGTTGTTGTGTGTAAAGGTGTCAATCCCAGATCCGTTATTGACTTCTATTTCATTGTAATCTGCATTGATCCAAACACATCTACCTTTTTACTATATTCTCACACAAAAAAATAAAATCCTAATTTCCTTTGCTTAATCTCTCCCTTTAATTGACTTCCTTTCCAAGTAGCCAAGTCTCTGTGAGACTTCCCTTCTAGAATCCAATTTTGTTCTTGAAAATAATAATTCTTGCATTTGATATAGTGCCTTATGTCTTTTTGAGATGTCTCAAAGCACTTCACACACTGTAGTGTATAGTGAATCGACTATTTTGTGAGCAAAACGCGGCAGCCAATTGTGCACAGCAATGACCCACAAACAGTTGCTAAGGTGCTATATCAAATGCAAGGATTATTTATTTATTAGATACATAAATTGAGCAAGTCAGTTATAATGATCAAAGCTCAGTAAAGAACTCTGAGCATTGCACTTCGAACTCACTTAAATGGAACTGCAACTGATCCAATTTTGTCCAGTTTGCCTCCATGGTGCTTAAAAGAAACATAAGTACACACAATGCCACTAATAGAATGAAATACGTCACTAAACCCTTTTACAGTGAAATTATTGTCATGCATTGTGTTTGCTTTGAAATGTACATAATAAAACAGTACAAAGACAAATTAGAATAATTTTTTTTACTAAACAAGAAATTTACAGAATTTTTTTTCCAGATAAGCCATACGAAAGTCACAAACTTAAAAGCTTACTTAGGCGCTATGTTTGACAGCAGAGACACAAGGTTAGTGAAGCTTTTTTTTCCTCCTCCTTTATTAACTGAGTGAACGTCTAACCAGCCAAGCTGCTCAAACTACAGCACATAAACACTTACCAGACTTGGCCAAAAGGAGTGATCTACTGTGTACTAGTAGCTGCGTTTTAAAATCGTCTTCACGTCACAAAATACAGAAGAAAAGCGAAAAAAACAAACTTACACAACACCAGCAGCTGACAGCCTAACTTCATTCACAGTGCTAAGATACAAACATTGCAAGTCATTGCAAATCAAACAGAGGTATGCCACTGCTTTCAAATCAAACTGTGGATGGGGAAGAACAGACAAAGCAAAGTGGTATACATCTAACCTTTGCTCATGCTTTCATGGTGAATTCAGAACGTGACCAATATTCCCTAAATGTGCACTTAATCCCCAATAATTTTAACTGTCTGGGTTTGTGTGTTCTGCAGTTTTCTAAGATGGGATTCTTTGAATATAAGGAAGGGTGAAATCTTGGCGTATCGGGAGTTGTGAGGTGCATTCAGCTTTTATCTTGAATATCGTCTCATTACGTGGCATGTAGCCTTGTCCATTGTTTGGCTGAAAGGAAAGAAACATTTAAAAACATTTTTTTCTTAAAGGAAAGGTTATTTCAATATTATCCACAAGTGATGTACAATCTTTTCTTGATACTGTATAATATATTTTACCTTGATACTTTACAATATATTCTGTGAAGCGCTTTGAGATGTCTCAACCATGTGATATGGTGCTATATCAAATGCAAGGATTATTATATTACTTTCTATAGTGAAGAGATAAATGAGTCGCTTTTGGACAGCTGGAATGTCGAAGGGAAGGGAAAAACAAGGCTAATCATCAACTTGCTAAGTACTGTTATAAAGAACAGAATGAACAATAACAACAACTTTCATTTATTGTAAAATGTCATGATTGGGCACTATATCAAATGCAAGGATCATTATTTTTATTATTACCCATCACGTGGGACAACAATGAGGTCAGATGCTGAGCAAGGGATGGGGTGGCGGGAGTGACCATTAGTGTGATTTAGCTTCACGACTGTGGAAAATTTAATCAAAGTGTTTTGGTCCTTGTGATTGTGCTCAACAGCCTAGGATTAAGCCTGGAGTATGTACGTGGTGGAAGCAAATTACACCTCCGAAATCCAAGAATAAACACTCCTCCCCTAGAATTGTCATGTCCTTTAACTAAGGGTGGTCCCACTAGCTGGTTTTGCCCCCTCCCCCCCCCCCCCCCCCCCCCATTTTATCCGGCCCACCCACTCTCTCCATAACCCGGAAATGTCATGTTTCTGGAAGGGAAACACAACAATATTGCTTGTGCGGCCTGCAGACGTTTCTCAACTAGGGTATAATAATAAATAATAACAATCCTTGAATTTGATGTCTTCGAGATGTCTCAAAAAAGGCATCCGGCCCTCAGTAGCCAAAAGATTCCCCACCTCACCCTGATCAGCAAAAAGCAACAGAAAATCCTCAGACTTTACCAGTTTCTATGGCTTTGGCCTCATTGCTCTTCCACTGTTCAGCTACATCATTTGCTAATGGATCATCAGGATTTGGGGCACTTAATAATGCCTGGATTGATAGCAGCACTGTCCGAATTTGCAAAGCTGGAGACCATTTATCTGTGGAGTGAATCAAAACGTTACCAAGTTAATAATTACATTGGTTTATACAGAACTGAGCGTCAAACTATAAAATGCAGAAATTTAAAAACATTAACAACAAAATTACATTTACACGGCACCATTCACAGCGGGAGGATATCCCAAGGCGCTAGACAGTCAGGGATTTGGACCTGAGCTGGGGGTTGGGATCAGGAGGGGTGGAGGGCGGGGAAGGTGGGGGTAGGAGGGTGGCCGAAGGCGCGGTCAAAGAGGAGGTTCTTGAGACGGGCTTTGAAGGAGGCGAGACAGGAAGTGGGGCAAAGGGACAGTGGGATGGAGCTCCAGAGGGTGGGGGCAAAGAGGCTGGAAAACAAATGTACCTTTCAAAATGTCTAAACAGATTCTGCCCAGCTTGTCTACATTTGGATGATAGATTTTGGTCATGAAGCGTACTTTAGGAGCTGCCATGGGATATTCTTCTGGCAGAAATAGTTCAAGTTTAAAAATCCCGCCTTCAAAAGGGGAGTCCTGGGGACCGGCAATAACAACATGAAAGTAACGAGCATTATTCTCGTCTGGCCGTGCCTGAATCCCTGGCACTGGTTCTTGCATCAAGCGAACAGTTTCCTAGAAAAGATTAAAAATAAAATGCCAGTCAGCGATACACATGTGACATGACATCTCATGTACCTTTCCCTTTAGTTATACTAACAACCAAATTATCAATGGCATTCACAACTATTAAAATATGCCATATGTTTAATTACAATACATTTACTTTTCTGCAGATTCATTCAAAGATATTAATTCCTGAATCTTTAGACTTTCTGAGGGATCAGATCCACAGTATATTAGTGTACGAGTTCCTCTATAGGATCCTTTCAAATGTACAAATTAATAATAATAATCCTCACATTTGATATAGTGCCTTATCACGTCCTTGAGACATCTCAAAGCGCTTCACAGAATATACTGTAAAGCGGAGGGAATGTATTTTGTGAGCGAAACCCGGCAGCCAAATGCGCACAGCAGCGTCCCACTAACCGTCATGGATTGAGTGACCAAATTATTAGATATAAATTATGTTGTATAGCTGTTAATGATCGTCTCAGCCAAAAGGAAACGTTGCAGTAAGATGGCTAGTAGCTCACTGTACTAAATGACTACATCACATCTGATGGGGTATGAACACACTTACAGTTTTAAGTCTAACATAGCGTTTGGCCACTTTTCCATTGTGCAGCCATACATACACTGGTTACTGTATTTGTGAGTGAATGTTGAAAACTCATTCACTTGTATGCTGTTCATTTTATTGGTGTTTATTTGGAAAATAGACATTCTAGCGGCAGTTTAATTTATGGGAGACATTTTGAAAAGGTTGTTATACGGCAGCTTACTGTTACAGCAGAGCACAATATTTGAGCACAAGAGCACTATATACATTCCCACATTAGCTCATCCAAATAAATAAAAAGAAATTGTATTTACACAGCACTTTTTACATCTTCACAGTTCTCAGATTCCACATAAATAAGGTGGTACAGTGAAAGTACATGTAAAAGGCAACAGTAAATTGTGTAGGTTGGATGATGCAGTTGCAATGAAAATCTATGAAACATTTACACTAAATATTGTTAGTCACGTCCCACTTGGGACAAGTGTGAGAGCTTATAGTTCAGCCGCTTTTACGCCAAACCAAAATGTTAGCACGTGCCCTCCTCGCCAAATCCTAAACTTTGCAATGACACCCAATATGTTTTAAGAATGCACAACAATCTGCAGAAGATGTTTTCAATGCCTGAGTGAAATGCAGAAACAAACTGAAAACTCACAAGACTCTGTAGTTGCTATTAACAAAGCATATGCTGAGCTCTTGCGGCAGCATCAAGTACTGCAGCAGAACTGATTTGTCAAACTCTAGCTTGGATCAAACATCCCCTGGTGACTGCAGTCTGTGCTACAGACACTCCAGTCTTCAAGTCAATTGTCAAAAAGATTTTTGTCTTAAAGGCAGACAAATTATTCCAGATGATCAGAAATGCATACATTTGGATATGGGGAAATTGAGTAAATTGATACACTACAGGAACTCTCTCTCTAATTTTTTTTCTTTGTTTCTTACCCCCACAGTGATATTTAGTGACTTTTCTTCCATTATAGATAAGTGGAGTCTTGTAGTTAGAGCACTCTTCTCACAAGCGAGAGGACCTGGGTTTGATTCCCGGGCAGGGAGAAATGTTAGGCAAGTTTCTTTACTCTACACACCTCAAAATACACTCAATCTATCACTATTTGTGATACACTAATTGCGCAGTTGGAGGCCACATTTTGCCCACAAAATATAGTCAATTCACTTTATAGTATATTCTGTGAAGCACTTTGAGACTTTCAATGATGTGATAAGGCACTATATCAAATGCAAGGATTATTATTATGATTATAATACAGTTCACAAGATGAAAAGGTGACCTTTTGCAGACCAGAGCATTAATCTGATTGTAGTGCAGGTCTAGGAAAACCATAGAAGACTCCAACAAATGTGCTCAGCTCATTGTACTGCCAACGGCATAGGTTCGGTGTTGCTTCAGAAACAGTGGAAGAGTGTATATTCTATTGCTTTCCACAAGGACTATCAACCACTTGCACAATGTGCTTAGGTAGTCCTGCGCAACTGATTATATTGCACTGAATCTTCAAACAATTACATCCAACAAAATAATCAAGCGCTGACATCAATATTTTAGTTAATTATGGAAAAACCTGTGAAAATCGCTACATAGTAGAGAATTGCAAATAAACAAAATTGCATTTGAAAATAATTCTAACCAGAGACACCTGAACAAACCATTAACAGATTTAGAAATGAGTTCAATAATTAAATTACACAAGTCAATGACTTTAATTGCCAGCGTCCATGTGAAAGGCAAATGTATTTTTGTTGTTGTTGTTAATGTGCTGCCAATATTTTATACAATATCCAACTCATTACTTCAAAAAGCTCAACCCAATCACTTCTACCAGCACTTTACCAGAGTTCAAGCTCAAATATTCTCACCAGGGCAAATGTATAAAGAAATCTATAACTCCATTGTCAGGGACTTTTCACGGATTAAGGAGAGGGAATACAAAAATGTCACACTGTTATGATTTACAGCTATGTAATGAGGGGGAAAAAAACATCTGCATTACATATGCTTAAACTGAAACTCCACTTAAACTTGTAGTGAAATCCACACGTCCTTTCTGGCAGGTTTCTGTATCTCCCCTCAACCAATTTTTTAAGGAATCAGAAGAAATTAATGAGGAATATTTTTAAAGTTTTAATAGCATGACACTACAAAAGCACAACATAAACAGTGCCAGCATTTACATAGAACTCCAACCTCAAGCTTCTTTTCTTTTTTCTATAAAACCTCACACCTGACAATGAAGATTCACACATTGGGATAATACTATACAGATTATTAATGCAGTATTAAGGGAGGATGTATTCCTGGCTCTGTCAAGGCAGTGCTTGTTCTGCTTAAAAAGAAAGATACACAAATATTGATGAACTACTAAATATTTCAATTTTTACTTTATTGTATATCCTGTGAAGCACAACGAGATGTCTAAACAATATCAGGTGCTATATCAAATGCAACAATTATTATTTATTATTAAAACTCTAACAAGGTACCACTACAACAATTGTTGCAATATTAGATATTTGCTCACACCTTGTCCCCAAAACCACATAATTACATTGATTTCATTTAAATGTTTGCATTCAGCAGCAAAAAGGTGAGACATTCCATTGTATGGGTTCAGAGTTTAATACAGGTGTGAGAAAAATAAAATAATTACATTGTACTAGTTCAAAACACCCTCCCATTGATATTCCAATACCAATTGAAATCACATATATTCTGGGGGATCCCACATATCTTGAAGGCCATTATTTCACTTCTTTAAAGACATTTCTAGAAGCAAGAAAACCACAACTGTGGTGAAACCCCAGCAACCGCTGGATACTATTATTATTCCTCGTCTTAATAATAATTCTTGCATTTGATATTGCGTCTTATCACATCGTTGAGACACCTCAAAGAACTTCACAAGATGTACTGTCAAGTAGATTGACTGTATTTTGTGGGAGGGATGTGACAAGTCAATTGTACACATCAGTGTCCCACAAACAGTCGTGGATTGAGTGACCAGTTTTAGTTAGGGGATTTGTTGGCCAGGACAAATGGCCTTCCTGAAGGAGAGAAACAGCAAATCTTGTCCGTACTTCCTTAAAATTGAAATGTTAGTCGGGTGCAAAGTTAAACTGAAACTTCCAGAAGCTTCTCCAGCCAAAGTGGAAACGCTGCCTGTGCACTTAGCTGACAGTGGTTTCACAGACAAACTACTGCGCTGAACGTGCACAGACCTGTCAAACACGGGTGGAGCACTGCTGTGAGCAATTGACTACCGCACTTCACCCACAAAATACACAGTCAATGATTCCAATTTACAGTATATTCTGTGAAGCGTTTTAATACATCTCACTGGTGTGATAAGGTGTTATATCATATGCAAGGATTATTTTTATTATTATACTTATTGCAGTTTAAACCTGGATTTAATGGGTCTAAATTGAAGGAAAAAACGACACATTTTCAGACAGAGAGGGAACTTCTCCCTATTTTTCCCCCGATGGTGACTTTAACTTTTCATTCATAATAATAATCACTGCGTTTGATATAGCACCTTATCACATCGTTGAGACGTCTCAAAGCTCTTCACAGAATATACTGTAAATATAGGTATATGTGTAACATAGGAACAGGAGTAGGCCATTCAGCCCCTCGAACCTGTTCTGCCATTCTAATAGATCAAGTAACATTAAATATTATGAAGTAACGTTACTCTCAATCTAAGACTGTTTGTGGGACATTGCTGTGCGCAATTGGCTGCCGCGTTTCGCCCACAAATATACAGTCAATTCACTTTACAGTCTATTCTGTGAAGCGCTTTGAGACGTCGAGAAGACGTGATAAAGGCGCTATATCAAATGCAAAGATTATTATTATACTATAAATATATATAAATACACACACACACAGAAATATATGGCGAACATAGGAACAGGAGGAGGCCATTCAGCCCCTCCAAACCGCTCTGCTATTCTGCGAGATCTCCCAAGTCACATCATGATGTAACATTATTACAGAGTGGAGTGACTGTGTATTTTGTGGGTGAAACGCCCACAGAGAACCCCCTCATTCTACCTTCACAAACCCCGGGCCCTCTCACAGACAGCTGTCTGTGTACCCGCCCCCCCCAGTAACAGCGAGGAGGAGCTGCTGGAAGCCTCTCCGTGCCGCTGGGCACCGGCTGCAGAGCCTCTGTGGCTGCAGGAGGCCTCCACCAGCGCCGCCATTTTCCCTCAACCGTGTCTCGTCCCCGAGCGGAAGTGGATCCCCGGCCACTTCATCTGCCTTTATTTTGCCTCCGACTCTCTTCCCGGGGCCGGGACACACGACATTAAGGGGCGAGGCGAGTGCGTACCTTGCTGATACGCTTGGGAAGTCCTGCCATTGTGTGCGTCTCTCTCTCTCTCTCTCACAGACTGACTGACAGACGCGCTTCTCTTCACCTTCCTTTCACCGTCCCAGGTCCACTTCCGTCTGTGACGCCCGCGCCCTTCCGCCCTTCCTTCCTTCCTTCCGCCCGCAGTGCCCCTCTGGGTAATGTAGTCCACCGGAAGTATCACGCCAGCTCAGCCCGGACCCGGAAGGAACTACAACTCCCGCTATGCACCGCGAAACTAGCACACGCCACGCACCGACCGACCAGCCGGACAGGTCCAGTGGGCGTCTTGTGGCTGTTGGTGCTGTTTAAGAGTGGAAATATCTGTCAACTGTCCCAATTATAATATATTATTATTAACTGCTTATTTATCGCAAAACACACAGTCACTACACTTTACAGCATATCCTGCGAAGCGCTTTGAGACGTCTCAATTACCAGATAAGGCGCTATATCAATTGCAAGGATTGTGATTAATGTATTATTACCTTATTACTCATTATTCTAACTGTCCCACTTACATTTCTGCCTATATCAGCAACGTCTTTGATTCTGTTTCATCGATTTTCATAATAATAATCCTTGCATTTGATTTAGCGCCTTATCACGTCGTTCGTAATCATCTAAATTAGTTTATATATATATGTTCACAGTATATATTGTAAAATGTATTTTGTGGTAAAATCATGGCACGTGGTATTGACTGCCACGTCATACTGTAGATTTCACACGTACACACATAAAACTCAATTTTCCAGATAAAATAGCCAAATCTGCTCTGATTAATAACTTTTCAAAGTTGTTAAAAACTGTGTTGAGAATTAAATAGATGAATAATCGACATCTTGGGACGTCCTCCTGACGTGTAAAGCATTAAATAAATGCAATTTGTTGTTATTGTTGAATATAGAGTTGCAGTTTGATTATTATTTAGCTAAGAAGATCAAGGATAGGTACAGTGATATAAATAAATATATATATTTATATAGGTATATATAGAATAGATATCCTGAAGTTATGGAAATATTTGGGCAACATTAGGTCAAAATGTTGTGGAACTTTTACTTGGAGGATTAAAAGCACATTTATATTGTGCCTCAGCTCAGACAATGGGAGTCGGGTCACCAGGATCCTGGTGCTGTGGAAACCATATGTGCTTTTGCTTTTAATGATCAATTCACCACTTTATTTCTGGCTAATTGCTGGGGAAGGGCAGGGGTGGGAGGCCAAAGCAGCAGAAACCATCTCCTGCAAAGACCACAGGTGAGAAACTTGGCAAGGTTAGAATGCTTGGATGGAAAAAGTTATTTATTCTTTACCAACATAGAATATGTCTGAGAAAATATGGATTTTAATAGCATAAAGGAAAAATAAGGAGAAACAACCTATTCAAAATTCTGGTTGCTGCTCAGTTTATATGCTGTTTTGAGAGGTGTGGTATTGTAGTTGACCTGGGAGTAAATTTAAAACAATTTGGTTATAATAATAAAATAATAATAACAATTTGGTTACTCAATCCAGGACTATTTGTGGGACACTGCTGTAGGCAATTGGTCCACAAAATGACAGTATATTCTGTGACCCGATAACACAACAAAATTACATCTGTAAAGCGCCTTTCACATCGGGAGTATGTCCCAAGGCGCTGGACAGTCAGAGTTTCGCACGCGAGCTGGGGGACAGGATCGGGGAGGGTGGAGGGCAGTGGGGGAACAACAACAACAAGATTCCATTTATTGAGCGCCTTTCACGTCGGGAGGACGTCCCAAGGCGCTGTACAGTTGGGTCAGGACCCGAGCATTGGAGGGAGAATGGTGAGGGGAGGGAAGGGAGGGAGCGAGGAGGGGTTAGAGAATCGAGAGCGGAGCTGAAGGCTGAAGGTCAAAGAGAAAGGCCTTGAGACCGGCCTTGAAGGAGGAAAGGGAGGAAGCGGCGAAGGCACTGGGGATGGAGTTCCAGAGCCTCGGGGCTGAGAGGCTGAAGGCCACCGATGGTCGGGCGGTTGGGGCGGGGGATGTGGAGCAGACCGGAGCCAGAGGGACAGAGGGTACGGGCAGGTAGGGAGGGGGATAGTAGGTCGGAGAGGTAGGAAGGAGCAAGGCCGTGAATGGCATTGTAGGTGAGGGTGAGGATCTTGAATTTGAGTAAGCAGAGTAATCGAAAGCACGGTCTAAGAGGTGGGTTTTGAGATGGGTCGTGAAGGAGGCAAGGGAGGGGGTGAGGCAGAGGGACTGCGGAATGGAGTTCCAGAGGGTGGGGGCAGCCAATGGTGGGGCGGGCGAGGCGTGGGACCTGAAGCAGGCCGGAGCCTGCTGAGAGGTATGGGGGAGCAAGACCATGGAGGGCTTTGAAGGTGAGGACCAGAATCTTGAACTGTATCCTCTGAGTGATGGGAAGCCAGTGAAGTCGGGCGCTATATCAAATTGCAAGGATTATTATTATCATTATACAGCATGACTGAGATATTATTTTAATGGTTTGACATCCGTGATTGTGTTACCATGGCATGCGATAATTGAGAAACTGAATCAAACAATTTTAATAGTGTAAAAAGATAGTTTACACTCTGCATAAAATCACTGAAGGGAGATAATTCATACCTTATAATTCATTCTGGCGTGTTTTATTTTAGCTTGAAATTGATACTGATCTGTAATTTACAGCTGGTGCTATTGGGGATCAACGTTAAAGAACATAGCAACACACGTCAGGTTAGGACGTCTAAATTACCGGCAATATTTGTGCCAAAGGATTTATTGAAAGCTGCTGGGATTTATCACATCGTACACATAACAGACTGCAGCCTCGCAGATTGGATGCCTGGCAACAAACCAACCATTACACAAAGTTATATGTATGTAAAGCAAGAGATTATCTTTCCAACTCTCTGGCCCTTCATTCCCACCCCCGCCCACAATAGTATCGATGTTAGTCAATGGCCACAAATAAAATTGGTTAGTCACTTTGTGGCTGTTTGTGGGGCATTGCTACGTGCACATTGGCTGCTGTGTTCGCCTACAAAATGCAGTCACAACAACAACAAAATGACATTTATAGAATGCCTTTCACGTCGGGAGGATGAGCATGGGGGAGGGGTGAGGGAAGGCAGAGAGGTGGGAGGGTGACCAAAGTCACGACTGAAGAGAAGGGGCTTGAGACCGGCCTTGAAGGAGGCGAGGGAGGGAGCGAGGCGAAGGGACTGTGGGATGGAGTTCCAGAGTGTGGGGGCAGAGAGGCTGAAAGCCCGGCCACCGATGGTAGGGCGGGTCGGGCGGGAGACACGGAGCAGCCGGAGCCCGATGAATGGAGGGAGGGGGCAGGTTGGTAATAATAATAATAATAATCCTTGCATTTGATATAGCGCTTTTCGTCAGGAGGACGTCCCAAAGCGCTTCACAGAACACACTGTAAAGTGAATTGACTGTATATTTGTGGGCGAACGCGGCAGCCAATTGCGCACAGCAATGTCCCACAAACAGTCGTAGATTGAGAATGACCAATGTATTATTGTTTTGTTTTGGAGGGATTATTATTAGGCTCTGTGTGGAGTAAGGAAACTTGCCCAAGGTTTCGCCCTCTGCCTGGAATTGAACTCAGGTCTCTCACTTGCAAAGTGAGTGCTCTAACCACTGAACTACAGGACTCCAAAGGAGTCAGGGGGTCAGAGAGATAGGAGGGGGCAACGCCATAGATGGCCTTAAAGGTGAGGATGAGAATCTTGAGCTCGATCCTCTGGGGGATGGGGAGCCAGTGGAGTCGGGCGAAGGTGGGAGTTATGGGGTCACGGAGCCTGGTGCGTGAGAGTACATGAGCTGCAGAGTTTGGGATGATCTGCAGCTTGTGAAGGGAAGAGTTGGGAAGGCCGATGAGGAGTTCCCGTAATAAAGTCTTGATGTGACGAATGCACGGGTGAGGGTCTCGGCAGCCTGAGGGGTGAGGCAGTGACGGAGTCTGGCAATGTTGCGGAGGTGGTGGTAGGCAGTGCCGGCCATGGTGCGGATGTGGGGGAGAAAGGACAGTTCAGGGTCAAACAAGACCCCCAGGTTCCTGACTGGCTCAGTGAGGTTGAGTGTGTAGCTGTAGAGGCTGATGCTGCCAGTGCCTGAGGTGCGGAGGTGCTGGCGTGAGCCAATCAGGAGGGCCTCGGTCTTGCTGACATTGAGTTGGAGAAAGTTGTCTCTCGTCCAGGACTTGATGTCGAACAGGCACTTTACAGTGCATTCCTTGCAACGCTTTGAGACATCCCCGACATGAAAGGTACTGTATCAAATGTAAGGATTATAATAATTATTGTTATGCAGTGACTTCCTGCAAAGTGGATCTGTGTAAATATAAAGAGGACTTGGTTTAGATACACGTTCTCAACAGGGAAATCCTGCACCCACTCACCCACCCACCAAGCTTCCACAAATTTGCCAGAGAACTGCCAACACCTTTGGAATTGTATCTACCAGCAATACTAACTCCCTCAGAGGAACACAACTTGGCACAAGATTTGTAGGAATAACATTTTCCAGATCTGGTTTGTATTACGTTCATCAATGAAACATGGTTATGTCTGTTAGCATTAAAAGATACGATCAGTGAAATACTGAAGTATATAATAGTTTCAAATTTGTACCCATTGACTTTCAACAGGAATTGGATAGATATTTGAAAGGAATAATGTGCTGCCCAGGAATAATGGTGTGAGAGAGAGAGAGAGAGAGAGAGAATCTTGGATATACATTTGTGGAGATTGTTAAACATCTGTCGTGTTTTCCAGAGGAGAGGGGAGTCACACATTGGATTACAGATTCCCATCTGATTGAATGTGTTGATACATATTTATATATTTATGTAGAGGAGAAAGGAAGCTCTATGGTAAGTGGGTCAGAGACCACAGGGTTTGCCCCTGAGGGGAGGCAGAGACCCCCTGAACCCCTGAGCAGATCAGAGGCTCCACCTGGGACTCACCACTGCGACTTGCGACTGCGTGTCTTTGGCTAAAATCCACTCGTGTTCGCTTGTGGTGTCGCTGATCCCTCGACATCAAGTCAGAGTTGGTTACCCTGAACCTCAGAGGAATCCCCTTCTCTCTCTCTCTCTCTCTCTCTCCACTCTGGGTGATTATGAGAGAGAGAGAGTGGGGGGGAGTGAGGGACAGAC